TTTCAACATCGGCTTGTGTGGAGAAGATAGTGTGTAAAGATGATAGATCATTAAAGTTTACTTATAATTGTGGTTCTTGAAGAGTTAGCTTTCTAGTAACGTGGGGTGAAAGACCTGTGCATGTAGAATCTGGTGCAAAAAGGCTCATGTTCTTGGACTCTGTTGAAAGGCTATAGGTAAATAACTACCCACTCATTCTGATTTTTGTCCTTTAAGAATATTCCCCCATTCTGGCTGTGTTAGAAGTTCATTCACTAATGGCTGCCTTCTTAAATTGGTGGAAAAATATATTTATTTGATTTGTATTTTATGAAATTTGATATGCACTTACTGGAAATGATGTAAAGTTGGCCAGTTTTCATGACATTCAAATAAATTGTTGGAAATATGAATGCTGCTTTATCAAGCAAATCACAGTTACATGGGAAATTTGTTATTATTCCACCTGGGATTACATGATTGTGTAAATCAGGGAAAAGAGAAAATTAGAGAGACAGAGAATTTTGTGGATGAAGATTTCCACCTGTATTTTATGATGGAGAAATTTAGTAGATACTGATGCAGTGGCACATCTGTCTGAAATGAGCTGATCTTGGTAATACTGTTCCAAAAAAAAAAGAATCAATGGCTTCCTAGAAAAGCAAAACAGACTAGTATATGAGGTGAAAAATTCATTTTTGACATATTACATCTCAAGTATTTTGTGCCGCTGGCATTTGGCGATATTAAAATGGGATAGTCCCTGTCTTTTTTTATTTTCTTCTCCTATCTGACCCAAGGCTCATTCTGTCAACATGCCTTCTGCAGGGATGATGGAATTATACTTATTTCTGAAATTCTGTTTCCAAATGCCCCCCTCCTCTCTATCAAATTCAGAGTCTAGCACCTACTGTAAAAGTAAGATTTTTGTGTTGATAATTTTCTCTGCAAATAGCATCCTCTTGAATATGTATAATAAAGAGACATAGTTGGTTTGAAACCATATCAATTTCTTAAAATGAGTTAAAACCGTTTCAGATGCTTCACTTGTCCTGGGGTCTCCCTGCCACTGTTTTTGTGGTTTCACAATCACATTTTCCTAATTGGTTTTCTCCCCCCACTATTGAGTGAAAGACGCAGTGGAAGAAGCTGAATAATTGAGGCCATGATCATGCAAATGGATCCCTGTGAGTGACCCTTGTGCCCATGCAGAGCCCCACTAAAGTCATTGGGTCTCCACCCAAGAGCCAGGGTCTGCTCATACCAATCTAATTGCAGGATTGGGGCCTAAAGGACAAGCTAGGAGAAACTATTAAATTGACCATAGAGTAAAATGCACAGAGTAAAACTGTAAAAAATCAGAAGAATATTTTTTTCTCCAACTCCTTTCAGTTACAGTAATAAGTGTTTACTTACTTGATAACTAAAAATCAGATAGGAGTGTGATTTTTTTTTTAATTGATGGTGCCCTTTAAAGTGTAGCATTTTAATATGAACACAAAATTGAAATAAGAAATTAAACACTAGATCCTTATAATAGCAACAATCTTTATGATTCAGGATAAGAGATCAGGTTCTATTTATATTATTTTTATAAAAATCTAAATATTGACTCCTCCCAAGAATGAGAGAGTAGGACTGAGGAAAAATAACACAGATTCAAAAATTGCTCCAATAGGAAAGTTTGTAGGCTAGATGGCATTGTACAACAATTGTTTCCAACACTTTCACACTCTTTCTACACACACACAAAGCCTGTCTGACTTATCACCTGCTACCACGCCACATGATGTCTAGAGACTACAAAGAGTCAGTCAAGCAGAGTTGCTTCATAGCAAGCTGCCATATCAAGATTAAATGACCTTCCCTTTTCTGTTGCTGTCAGTGTTCAGGGCCAGGAAATGAAAGGTTTGAATCTATTCTCAAACCTGGGTGTTGATGTGCATCTGCTCTGCTATTGGACCGCTACAGCAGCAGCAAACAGTCTTTTAAATACAATATTCAGACCTATAATACACTTAAATCCATGGTGACGCCCCAGCTGGCTTTATACACTGTTTACATTCCATGTTGTATACATATTCAGAATTGCTAGACCATGGCTGACTTATTGGTGCAATGATCAGTCTTTTTATAATGCAAGACCCAAGCCAAATCATTAGTCACAAATCCTGCCAGGTGCTGAGCACCCCGACTCCCACAGTCATTAACTTCGAGTGATTCCATTGGTACTAATTGGGTGCAGGCTTTACTTGGATCTTCAGCTGTCTAACCTTTCCCTTTCAGCATGTCCCTCTTCCCTCCATTCTGCCCCCTCACTCCTCTCCTCTCCTCTCATTCTTACCTTTCCTTTCCTTCCATTTCAATCCGTCTGAATTCCACCATGGTAGTACACTTTCCCCTGACATAAAAATGCTTGCTGGAAGAAATGCCACTAGGTACTTAGTTGTGTTGGTTGCCTCCACCTCCCAAAATGTTGGAGATCCAACATGCCACATCAGATGCTTGCCATTGTACCTGCACCCTTTCCTTGCATCCTCCAAGGTCAGGAACTCCATGCAACGTGTGTGCCAGTTCACTTGGAACTGTGTCTCATTTCAGTCATATTGGACTCTGTTTTTCTGCTCTCACTCACATTGGGTAGGACCTTACTGTGTGCTAGTCCCCTTGACTCCAATCAGTGTGACTACCCACAGAGTAAGGTGCTACTCCAGATGAGTGAGTGTGGCAGAATCAGGTCCTTTATAACTGTTAAATAGGACAGAATTCTGAACCTTTGGCCAGCAGTAAACCTGCTTGCCACAATTATTAGAATATTAATACAGGGAATGCCTTGGAGGTTATTGTGAAAAGTACAAACTGTCCTATTGTAGCCGAAGGCACAGTTGTCTGAAGCAATGACTATATCAGTGTAATGCAAATCCAATCTAATAGTGAGTCATGAGGAGTTTGTATGTTTACAAGTCACCCTGACAGTAATGGTGGATTGTATATTTTTCAGTAGGCAGGAATAGTTATAATTAGCCAATTATAACCAATTAGTTATAATTATAGCCAATTAGTTATAATTAGCCAATTAGGGCTAGTTCCATTTTCACACAAGGCAGGTATGGGGTTCACTTTTGTGCCAGCAAACTTCTCCCATGAACAACAGTGGTCAAAAATAATTCTGGGGGTTTTCACAGCCTGGCCCAATCCCACTCTCTGGATGGACACCAATCTGTTGTGAGTGGATCCAACAGCTGGCTCCCACGTGGTTCTAAACCCCCTGGGTCTGGGCAGTGACTGGTCACTGTTCCTAGTCTGGGCTTCCCAAGCACACTTCCAGGTGCAGACCCTGTGTCTGACACCCTTCTTGGGTAGTGAGGCCCTGCACTCTGCACCTAGAGCCCAGAACCAATACCACAGCCCTCCCAAACCCCAAATTGCTTAGACATGTTTCCCCGAGAATCCACCTGGATGTGGGAGCTCTGTCCCTGAAGGGTGTAACTAGAAAACTGGCAATAAAGCAAGGAACACAGGCTTATCAAAACAACTTTTTATTCACAAATACTTGACTCTTTAAAAAGCACAAGAGAATTACAGATCTGTGGAAAACAAGAAGCTCCTGAATGCAACCCCCTGGATCTGCTGTTGTCATACCTGTGCATCTGTGGTTTGGGCCAAGTCCTTAGACCAGGCAGCCCTTCTGTCCTTCTTGGCTTGGCCATCTTGCTTCTGAAGGTAGAATGGGTTCCTCCTGTCCTCTAAGAAGCAGCCTCCTTAAATTAAAGTCTCTCTTTTAGTCAATCTGGGCCACTGCATGTCTCCCAGCCATGTGCTCTGACTGGGGGATTCCAACACTCCGCCACCCCCACCCCACTTCAGAGACAGGTTTCTATGTAGAGCGAGTCCATTCAAAATCAATAGCACTGCTAGGGGAACCCCTATTGTTCCAGTAGGAAAGAACCATTCAATGCTGATGACCCTTGATTGCTCGGTCACAGCTTCTCGGACAGTGGATCCACGTAGTCAAGTCTCTGCTACAAAACTGATGCTCTAATCACAAGGAAGGTCATAAATGGTGTTCATAAAACAAAATGGAATTCCTAATTTGGCACAGACCTATCCCCAAACTGTCACAGATGCAAAGGAGGGTATGGAGAAGACAGAGGCAGGTGCAATTAGTTTTAGATGTGTACATGGATTTGCTTGTGCTGACAAAATAGTACTTGCTATTATTTGTGGATGCAAAATGGCAGAGCGATGTTTGTATAGCACCTAGCACAAAAGGGCCCTGATCCTGACTGGGCCCCTGGATGAGACTCTAATGTGAATAAGAAACAGCATTTCGGGTTAACACTGTATCTGTCGATAGGCCAAAAGTGTCCTTTGTGTGGAAGTATGCTTGATTGATGTACAACAGTATTTAACTATTATTCTCTGGTAAAGAAGGGATTTGGCTTTTAAAATGTTCAGATTATTCAGATTCCTCTTTTAAAATTGATTTCTAAAGCCACAAACAAGATAGTAAATGTACTAAACAATCAAACAGTCTATCCTATACAACATTCACATTGCCTTGATTCTATGACCAGAGGAGCAGACTCTGTTGCATGGTCTGGGAAGCTCCAGAAATTTCTTGTGAAATCATATCAGCGCAGATTCGTTTTAAAAAAACTGGAGAAAATTTTTTGATTTTTTGTTGTTGTTTCTAAATGATTTTTGGTTTTGAAATTTAATTTTATTTAAACACTTTTAAAACCAACTCCAAACGATTTTTTTTTCTGAATTTCATTTAGTGTATGCTGAAATTTTGGCTTTTCCATCTCCAGTGAAATTTTTCATGGGATGGAAAATCCATTTTCCTGCTAGTTCTGATTACAGTACAATTACAGCATTACAGTAAAATAACCACTTAGTCTTCTCATGTGGTTCTCTCCAGTTGTGTTGCAAATACCCTCCCAGAGTCAATACAAAATCTCACATCTTCCTACGGCTAGAGCTGATGTCTTTACCTAATAGATTTTACTTACCCATTGAAATTGCACATTACTAGTTTCTCTTCACTCTCCCATGAAAGTGGTTTGCGCCACTGTAGATTCACAGCCTCCTTCAGCTCCCATTGAAGTCAGTTGGAGTCTTTCCACTGACTCCATTACCTAAGCAAAGATATCTTCCTTTGGGTTCTCACTCTCTTTTTCTGGTCAGCTGGAAGAAGTCATGTGATCCTTTTGTCTGTGGAGACAAAGATCTTTTGACAGGTTTCAGAGGAACAGCCGTGTTAGTCTGTATTCGCAAAAAGAAAAGGAGTACTTGTGGCACCTTAGAGACTAATCAGTCACCTACAAAAGATGCACTTTACAATGAAAAAAGAAAAGGAGTACTTGTGGCACCTTAGAGACTAACCAGTTTATTTGAGCATAAGCTTTCATGAGCTACAGCTCACTTCATCGGATGCATACTGTGGAAAGTGTAGAAGATCTTTTATACACACAAAGCATGAAAAAATACCTCCCCCCCCCAATCTCCTGCTGGCAATAGCTTGTCTAAAGTGATCACTCTCCTTACAATGTATATGATAATCAAGTTGGGCCATTTCCAGCACAAATCCAGGTTTTCTCACCCCCCTCACACACACACACATCTGAGACTCATCTGATGGTCTGGTGAAATCTACGTTTTATGGACTCTCCGGCATGCTGCATGGCCTAGGTATTCATCTAGGGAGAAATTCACCACTGGGTAGACAGTCAGCACATGCACCACTTCAGACCCACATAACCCCAATAAGTGGTGAACAAGCCTTGTGCTGGTTCTCTACAGGGATGACTTTCACCCTCCAGCCATTCCTGAATAAGGATATGGGAAGGGAGGCTCTTTCCTTTGTGGGCTGGAGGCGCACTTACAAGTATGGGGGTGCACTTACAAGTAGCACTTCAGCTTTCTTTGTTGGCCAGATAGACAGAAACCAGCTCATTTGGAACCCGGTGAGTCTGATCTCAGTGGTCTACTGACATAAGCTTTAAAAGGGCTGTCTACTGAAAATCTTTATTTAGATGTTGGTCATAAAGCAATAATTATGATTCTGCATCAGCAGTTTGACTAAATGAAGTATCTCAGCAGTTCCGCAGAATTCTGCTCCCCCACATGCTCCCCTACAACAAGCCCGTAGCCCTTAGAGGTCGGTGTCTTTGTTCATGCTAACCAACCCAACCTCTAACTCAAGGACACCCAACTCAGCGCTGGTATTCTGGCTGCCCCCTGGAAGGCTCTGGCAGTACTGGAAGAGCAGCGGTGCTGCATCTCCGTGCCGATGTGCATGAAGAGAGCTGGCAGAGGAAGCTTGTACTATGCCTGCAAGCGTTAAGCTAGCTCTAACCAGTGCTATCAGCCCTTTACTGTCTTGGACTCTGAAATTCACTAACCACCCCCTCCCGTTTTTTAAGCACATTATTTACCCAGCAGACCATAACAGCTCTATTTAATTATGTAAATAGGTTTCCTTAGTCTTACAAAATCATCTTTTAAAACTGACAGACTGTAAATGCTCTTTCAAAATCATTCTATTCTGCCTTGTTAACTTTTGCTTTGTTTAACCCAAGGATTGTTGGTCTGATAGACAGACAGAGAAACAGCTCCTTTGGAGCCCAGCAGTCTATGGTCTCAGTGGTTTTCTGTGCATGTTTGTTAAACAGGATTCCTGCTAAAAATTATTAGATGTTGGTCATATATTACTATGACTCTGCATCAGCTCCCTCTCCAAAGCAACTCAGCAATTTGTAGTTGTTTCTCCTAGATTGTGAACTTCATGGAAAGACTCCTCCAAATTGCTAGTCTGGGAAGGGGACTGGTCCTGATTTTCCTCTCACTTGTTTTACACTACTGTAAATCAATTGCCTTCAACTGATTTACTCTGGTGCTGATCCAGCAAAGCACATAAGTGCATGAGCAGCTCCCTGGGACAATTCATGCTTAAAGTTAAGCATGTGCTTAAGTGCTTTGCTGGATCAGGGCCAGAATGCTCAGGCTCTTGTGAGACTGAGCACCAAGTGAGAAGAGAATCAGGGTCCCTGTTCTTAAGGTTGAAAGACATAATATAGTAAGGGCAGTACATTGTATTTTATTTTATAAAAACATATGCAATTTCATTGTATTCCCCTGGCAGGAAAGGGAGGAGACAGAAGGAGCAGGTGGCCAGTTTGAGGCCTGACTTTGGGAGAGAATAGGGGTCAACTGCATTCCTGTTGGGGGAGGAGGTGACATGGGGAGAATACTGGGAAGATCATAGCCATGAGTGTACATAATCACATTTATTTTTCCATTCATAGTGTAGGCTTATAATAGTATTTTAAACTGATGGACTTTTTACTGTTCAAGCTCTAGCAGTGCAGGGATCCATCCACCTTGCTGCAATAAGAATTACATTGGGGGTGGGGGGAATCTCTCCAAGTGTTTTAGCTCAGGGAACAGTGGGTATCCTGTCAGCTGATGCTAAACACAAAACTAATGATGCAGTGACATTTTAATGAGTGTGTAATAGACAATACAAGGCAGAACTGCAGAAATGCTTTTTATTCCGCATACATTTATATTACATTTCATCTATTGTCACGCTGGGAGCCCCATTGTAAATTAATTTGGCAGATAAATTTACGACAGCAATTTGCCTTCCAGATGTATAATTTATTCATGTCCGAAATAATTTATTATATATTCCCTCAGACCAATCTTTTTTTCTGGTACCACCTTAGTAAATAAAATTTATTGTTTCCACTGAGCCTTATGTGACTTTGCAGTGGTCGGTCAATAACCACAGGGGGATAGTTTTGGTCACATTATTGGTCACTTATTTGGATGGATGATGGAGTACCTTGTCCCATCTGTACATATATTACTTTCTTTTGTCTTAGGGGCACTTTTGGGAAGATTAATTAGGTCCATCTGCAAGGAAAGATCAGCCTTAGGGATTCAGGTATCTAAAATAAATGCCAAGGGGAAGAACTGCTGAAGGAGACACTTCGAAAATCAAAGCTATTTTCCACGACGTTAATGGGGAAATATATCTATATAGATTGAAAGAAAAATAAACCTGCTTCTTAATCTGGGTCATTTTAACACCAGCATGATAAATGCCTCTTATAGACGCTGTGCTAGGGTAAGGATCTGTGCACCTGGTTAGAGTACATGGGCCATATTCTCAGCTGTATGTCAGCATAGCTCTACTATTGTCCTTGGAGCTACCCCCAGTTCGCATCAGCTGAGGATCTGAGCCATTAGCTGTCAAATATATTCAAGGCGGCTTGTAAACTGATCAAGATCCATGTGTATACACCTTATTTAGCATGAGCTGAATGCAAAATACATAAAATTTGCTGCAACTTAAGTAATAGCTAACTGCATAGCTTGGCCAGTATAAGCTGGGCTCCATGTACTCTGCAGCATGGGATCAACTTCTGGAGCATCTAAATAACAGGGAGGAAAAGGCAAAGGACCATTTTTCTCAGCAAGGCTCAGCCATATTGTGGACTTTCGAACATGGTAAAAGCATTGTATTGCTTGAAGGGCATTTTGTTAGAATGAAATAACTGTACTTGTAGATTTGGGGCCACATTCTGCCCTCATTTACATGAATACTACTCCTATTGACTCTGAAGTGAATCAGTGAAGACAGTGGAATGTGAGGAGAAGGAGATTAGAAAAGAGAATAAGAGAGAAAGGGAGGAAGTAAAGGAATTAAAAGGGAAAGGAAAAAAGCACGAAAGAAGCAAAGCAAAACAAAAAGCAAGAAGGCAAGGGAAAATGCCAGGCAGCATTTGATTTCAGTGTCCCCTCCACTTGGAGAATATTTGAGGAGGAGGATGAAATTTGCTCTGGAAATGCTGATGCCTGTCTCCCTCTCTGTGCTATGAACAAAGCCTCTTCATTCTCAAATCTGGGCAATTCACAGGATGTCTGGATCTTTTGGCTTAATTCTACAGAGTTGTTGATCCCACATCGTACAGTACTTCAAGGAAATGGGGCCTTTTGTACAAATGAGATGCTTGCCTTGGAATGTGTATATATTGCCAGACAAAGCTGATTAGATCGTATATCTGGGCTTTTGTTTTATGAAGGACACTATATAAATGCATAGGTACCCAGCAGCCTTTGGTCATGATTCATAGATACTAAGGTCAGAAGGGACCATTATGATCATCTAGTCCGACCTCGTGCACAACACAGGCCACAGAATCTCACCCACTCACTCCTGTGAAAAACCTCTCACCTATGTCTGAGCTATTGAAGTCCTCAAATCATGGTTTGAAGACTTCAAGGAGCAGAGAATCCTCCAGCAATTGACCCGTGCTCCATGCTACAGAGGAAGGCGAAAAACCTCCAGGGCCTCTTCCAATCTGCCCTGGAGAAAAATTCCTTCCCAACCCCAAATATGGCGATCAGCTAAACCCTGAGCATATGGGCAAGATTCACCAGCCAGATACCCAGGAAAGAATTTTCTGTAGTAACTCAGATCCCACCCCATCTAACATCCCATCACAGGCCATTAGGCCTATTTACCATGAATATTTAAAGATCAATTAATTGCCAAAATCGTGTTATCCCATCATAAAAGTGTAATTTATCCAGAAGGATTGACATCTCCATGTGTTGCTAATGCAAAATGGAGCCTTTAACTTCTAAGCCACTTGTTCTTTCAATACTGTTCCAATCTCTAAAAGTCATGACGCTCTGAAGGCTGTTTTGTGGTCTTCATGACATGGGTTGATGGCTTCAGTATATTATCTAGTAGACAAGTACCACATCCCCAGAACACTCACAACTAGCATCAATTGAAACCCTTGTTGGCAGTCTCAGCACAGCAGCAAAGGAATGAATGGGCATGGAAACTAAACTCCCCTCTAAAGAAAAAGACTCCCTCTGCCGCCTCTTCCCTCCTTCCCTTCCCCCAAAAAAATCTCTTGGCCAGTTTCTGCTCTCTGATACATGTGGCTGATTCCCATCTGCTTGGGTGGGAGCTACGCGTGACAGTTATCTTAGACAGCTAAGGCCCCAGTCCTGCAAACAGTGAGAAATGTGACTTATCTCAGAGTTCTCATATGTGTGATTCTGAATCCTGGATGCAAGGCTGTGTCACGTTACAGTGGAGCCATGCAGCCAGGGTGCTGAAGTTAAGGGATGAGGGAGGCTCTCCTGCACAGGTTCCTGGGGAACTGCTAGATTGCCTAGTGGACTGTGCAACCTTTCCCACAAAGGGGCAAAACCTGCCTGCTAGAGCTGCTCTGGAAATG